GCACAGGCTGGATACTGCCTTGAGGTAGGTATGGCCTAATTCACCCCCTGTTTGTAAACCTTCTGTAACAGTTTTTTTTTTTTTTTTTTTTTTTGCCGGATTCATTGGGACGTCAGTCCGGCCGGAAGTCCCGCTGTGTCTGGGTCCGGGTGCGGCATGACCATTCTAAAAATGCTCTCTTGAGGGCCCAGCGTTTTCAGAATGCCGAACCCCCTTGGATGTATGTGGACTACTGTTAAGTCCAGTACGTCGAAGGGGTTCCGGCATTCTGAAAACTCCGGACCCTCAAGAGAGAATTTTGAGCAGTTTTTAGGGCTCGATATGAAGTGTTCAATTCCACTCATCGAATATATAGAATCTCTTTTTGAGGAAATGGCTGTTAATTAACCAGCAATCCATCTCAGAAGTAGTATACTCCTGGACCTGGACCCAAGTGGTTAACCGGGGGACCCCGTCAGTGGGCCGTCACCCCCCACTTTCAGCTCCTGAGGAAGGGGTCCAAAACTGAAATTAGGGTTTGGGGGTCAAATTTCACCCTCAGCTCATGCATCGTTATATAGGATTATAGGATTCCTATCCATTGCCTGAACTTCGGACCCACTCCCATGTTTTCCATACTTGCATTCAGAAAGGCCCAGGTGACTTTGGTCATAGGCCTTCTCAAGGCCCAGTTGACTTTGGTCATAGGCCTTCTCAAGGCCCAGTTGACTTTGGTCATAGGCCTTCTCAAGGCCCAGGTGACTTGGTCATAGGCCTTCTCAAGGCCCAGGTGACTTGGTCATTCTCAAAGTCGAAAAAGAGGATGGCAGTACTGATCCTTTTTTCGCTCTGACTTTCTTCGCTGCTTCATTTACAGTCAAAAGACTCAAATTCAGTAAATACATTGTCCAGGATTTACTGCCCTGGGATGAATCCTGCTTGGTCTATGTGAAAGCAATGAACATTTATCTGTCAGCTGTACAATTCGAAAAGCCAGGGGCTTTGGCAAGTATCTTGCAAAATTGCGAATGTCTGTGTAGAAGAATCGGGGAACAGGGAAAGCCCTGAAAGCCCTGAAAGGTGAGCAAGGTATAAAAGGTACAGCGTAGTTTTCAGGATCATTGTAGTTGGGACCCTGCTTGCGGTGCTTGGCTGCTGGTCCTTGAGTGAATCTGAGTGATTGCTGGCTGCTGCTAGCCTCCTCCTCCTGCTGCTGCTGCTGCTGGTGGAATACACACTGTGATAGTTGTTGCTGCTGCTGGCTGTATCTAGATTCTAGAATGAAAATTGCACCAACTACAGCTAAGATGACCAAGAGTTCTATTGGGGTGAAGACGGTGAAGACGGACGGACGGTCCACTGCTGCTGCTGCTGCTGCTGCTAGCGCAGTTTTCCTGGCAGTGCCTCCCCCCTTCGGGACCCTTCCGTGGCAGCTGCTACAATTCCTGAAATTTTCAAGGTCCAGGGCACTGAGGGCAGGCCTGCAACTGGTTGACTCTGGGAAGTACACCAGTGGAATGTGGACTGCAAACAGTCGGATCAGCAGCGTCAGGAACAATGGCAACAAGTGCAAGCAAGTTGAAGCAACCAAACCATCTGCGGCCCTGTGGGTGGGGGCAGGACTCAGGAGTGAGGAGTGTGGGGCATAGACTCCATAGAGGAACAAAAGGAAATCAATGACTGTGGGCCAGCGGATACAACTCGTGCAGACCAGTGGGCCAGTGAGAGGCTTGCAACAGCTATAGATGGAGCTGCTATGGCAGGAGGCATACATCCACAAAGTTGAAGTACTCAATGACATGTAGTACTCCCTCTGTGATTGTGGTGACTGCCCTCTGCTCTAAGCAGGAATGGGGGTTTGATGCTCCATGCAAAACAGTGCATTGACAGTTGCTTGATAACAAGAAAATCACATACTGTGGAGAAATCATTGCTGTGAGCTTCACCATGAACCATACATAAAGAAACACGTGCTAGGAAGTGGGGGGGAAGGGGGGAGAGAGAGAGAGAGAGAGAGAGAGAGAGAGAGAGAGAGAGAGAGAGAGAGAGAGAGAGAGAGAGA